ATACAAATTTGAATATAAGATGCTCTGATTTTGAAGAGGTCTCTTCAGAATATGTTGTATTATTAATTAATTCTTTCTATTCAATCAAGATAATATTTCAAATTGCATATTTACAAGGAAATAGTCTTATTGAATAGGTTAAATCAAAGATTCCCAACCTTTTGTGTTCATTAACCCCTTTTAAAGGAATTGTTGAGTTCATTGACCCCCTTACATTATCCTGTATAATATACATACTCATAACACAAAAAATTGCATGTAACTGTTTTAAAGATAACAATTTCGTACACCAATATTTTTGTAAAATCTAGATTTTCAATAATTGAAGACACTTCCACTTCTGAGTAGCTGAATTCCTAATCTTCATTGTTGGGCAACAGTAACAAAATGTTGAGTATTTTTAACTGACCATAACATTTCTCCAGTGCCTATTGCAGGGAGTATTTTCTTTTGCAATAGAACGTAGTTGTGAATACATATAATTTGTTGAGTTTTGTAAACATCCTAAGCACCCTAATTAAATTCTTGGTTACCTTAGTGCAGAAAGTTGAAACAGGGCCCTTATGTGCAATAAATGTGAAATTAATAGTTTTAAATCTAATTGATAGGCTCTCTAATAAAGAGGGCAAGTGCAATGGAGAAAATAAGCATGGAGTGTAGTTTGTTTTATTCTTTGTTGATATCCATCCACAAGAGTCTATATTAACCCATTAAGTCCCAACGTTAAGTATACATTGATAATACCCCTTCGTATCTATCTATAGACTTCCAATCGCCCCCTTGATCATCGTTGACCACCTTCAAAATTCCTATTGGGAACCCCTGAGTTAAAATCTCTTTGATAGAGCAATTACTACTTTCTTGTTCCTAAAAATTTTCATTACCCATAAATATTTTAAAAAAATTGTTATCTTGAAAAAATGATCAACTATATTCTTAATGGGAATTTTGCTTTTTATATGACAAGATCTATAGGTATATTAGGGTGTCTGTAAAAAAAAATTTTTTTTCTAGATAATCATTTACAAGGGTCTCATAGATATTGAAAATAAGATTGGCATGCATCAGTGATTGTGAAATAATTTTCCTCTTACAATTTATGTCAAAAAATTCATTTTGTATGTATTTGCATTGGAAAACGTGACTCCTGAAGCAAGTTATTTACAAAGTTTCAATGTGCTAAGAAAGATTGTTAAATGTAAAAATGAGTATTAAAAAGGAAATTGGGACAGTCTTAAAAGTATAGATGTACTAGGTGTGAAAACATGGGAGTATGCTAACAAGATTTTACTTTGTTCATAAGATCAGTGATGGTGGGCTCTAAATGAATATTATTTTTCTACTTTTCAAATTATATGAATATTTTGTATTTTTTCATTAATGTGTTAATGTTAAGGAATTTTATATCACAAAATGATATTGATTCTTTTTTAATTTGTTAATGTATATTCTGTTAAAACTCTCAGAAAAGATGTCCAATGCATATGTTTTTGTAGCTGTTTCTTACTTACTGAGACTATATGGGACATTCATACTTGATTGGATAAAATCTGTTGCCAGTTGCCTGTACCAATAATTGGTAGTATTCATAAGTCATTTTGCCAATCGAACATAAATTGAGGTGCACAATACAGGGCATAATGGCAGTGATTTGCATGAACTTAATTAATATTATGGGAAACTAAGAGAGATGTTTACAGGACATCATCAACAAATTATTGTACCTAACAATGTTCAGTGTCAGTTTATTTTGGGCAACCTAAAGGAAGCTCAATATTTTAGCAACCACCAAAAATTTGATTAATCGTAAAAGAATCTGGGCCAGAGCTAGATTGATCATATGAAAAAAGGCAGTTTACTGGAGAGTGTACATTCACTCTCTTGCCATATCCCCTTTTAAAATAATATGGCATAAGATGCAACAAATTGGATTATTCTTCCATCAATCTTGACAGTGTTGCTGGCAAATGGAAATTTCCTCACACTTCACTCCATGCTTTTCCAATCCTACGAGAGGATTGGGGAGCATCTCATTGGATTTTTTTCAGTGGTCTAGAGGAAGACTGCAAATGTGTTTTCCCCCAAGGAAAAAAAATCCCTTGTCCTTGCATGCTCAAAAGAAACTGTTCAAGAACCAGACCAGATACACAACCAAAATCAAAAGTGTCTACTGTCCAATCTTGCTCACTAGTTGTGCCTGAAGACTCTTAGAGTGAATAATCAACTTTCTATTTCTAGTTTTCCACATCTCCATTTAGTATCACAACACCACCTTCTAGCCATCTTTGATATCAAGAAAGCCTGACACTGCCTGGAGGTATTGCATACTTATTTCCTTGCATGCTTGTGGTCTCTGGGGATGGAATCCTGTTGTTCGTAAAAGAGTTCCTCTCAAAGTTCTTTCTGTCGGTTGTGGTGGAAGATTATTCTCAGTTGGCAAAAAGTGTCCTTGAGGAATCAATTCTTAGAGTCACTTGGTTTTCAATTGCTCTCAGTAATGTAGTGTCAGTTCTGAGGTTCTGTGAAAGCATCACACTTTGTTGAGGACTTGAATTTTTTGCTATATACAAGGTTTGTCCCAAAAGTTGTTTGTCATTTTTCTGTTGCTATTATCAGTCAGGTACCTTCCAGACTGGTTTGGTTAGGGTAAGGGGAGTTTTACCTTTCTTAATAGTTTCAAGCTCAGTTGTCTCTGAGCCCTGAGGAGGTTAGAACATATCTGTTTGTGAGCTCCTGTATAGTAGTTGCATCGTACTTACAATGGGGAAGTCTTCAGATCAAAGACACACGATCAGGTTTTGCACGAAGCTGAAAAGGACACCACTAGATGCTTTCAAGATATTATCCTAATTGTTTGGACAATCTTTATTTTTGGGGATGAGACGTGGATCTTCGAGTTAGACCCTGAAACAAAGGGGCTGAGTGCAGAATGGCACACATCAGCATCTTGGTGCCCCAAGAAGGTATACATGAGCACATCGCGCATGATAGTCTTGCTCATGTTTTTTTTTTTTTGACACAAAAGGGATAGTGTACAGTGAGTTCGTACCTCCTGGACACACTGTAAGTGCCTAGTTCTATAAACAAGAGCTCCAGAGCCTCATTGACAGGGTCACTCGCCGAAAGAAGATGAGCACTTCGAGGAAGCTTCGCTATGGCATGCCACATTGCCTTCGTTATCATGGACTACTTCATCCACATTGGTGAGGTAATGCTTCCACAACCACCCTATAGCCCCAATCTTACTCTGGCAGACTTATTTTTGTTCCCTCGGCTGAAAAGGGTCATGAAGAGAACGCATTTCAAGACTAGACAACATCGAAGCAAGTAAGATGAGTCTTCTTTGCCGAAGACTTCCCTAAGAGCGTTTGAGGCTAGGAAATCAAGCTGGCAAAAATGTATCAACTCACAAGGGTCATACTTTGAAGATTTTTAAGTTGCTGTACCTCTCTGATTAATGTTTTTAAAAAATGTGACACATTACTTTTGGGACGTATCTTATATGAGCGTACAAGTCATGGAACGGCAGTTGCAGTTTGTCGTCAATAAATTTCAAGAATAGAGTGATAAAAATGGATTCAAATTCTCCACTTCATAATGTAGCTGCATGCATTTTTCTGTATGATTCGTAAAAAATCTGAAGTCTCAACTATTGTATTTATGCAGATCAGAATAATCTGAGAAACAAAAGAAAGTGTTATGTTATGTGACCACATGTGATCTCCAGTATCTTGCTGTGTCCTTAGGAGTAAAATGAATTTTAGTCTTAACAATTTCTTTAAAATTGATGAAATCTTCATAAAGCATTCTCAAAATGCTAACATAATTACCAAATACCTCCATGTTTGGTAAATTTCTAAGTCTTTTCTTGTTCATCTTGATATTTTTAGCACAAAAGAGTAGAAGAACAATCTTTGTGTAACCTTCATTGGTCTCAATTTTAAGACCACTTGAGTGAGACATTCTGATTTCACATTTTTTTCAAAAGTAGGTGAATTTTTTCTCTAGGTATTGGAAGCTTAAAGTAAATTTTAATAACGAAAATTAATGTATTTTTGATTGAATACTGATTTGTCAATTTGACAGAAAACTGAGCTATTAAATTTTTCATATTCAGGCAAGGGTGTAACATTTTAATCAATGAAGCTGGAAATTATGTTTGTGTGTCCTCGTTTTCGTTTTCTGCATATTCTGTTTCAGGTTGAGGTGAAAGCTTAAATAAGTTCTTGAATTCTTGAACTTGATTTTTTTTCTATTCCTAGAGTTTTCTTCTAGACTTTTTCCACTTCCAATTGATTTCAACTAAAAGTATCCATTTTAAATTTTATATGTAAGCATTAGCACTGGTGTCCAAGAGTGTATTTACAATTTTTGCTCTCAAGAAATTTTGGTGGAAAAATAAAACCCCAAGGCTTTTTTCAGACTGTGCCCATACCTCATGAGAAAATCTCTGAAATTCAAACGTCAGTAACTAGTCCAATCTGCTGTACAGCCTTAAATAGGGACAAGCACTGTCCTGTGCCCAATAGCTACTCGATTTTTCAGTTGCAGTTTCCAACTGCCCTGACTCGGCATTCTCCTCTTTTCCCTTCTTGAGGAACAGTTGTGCTTGACAGTTTCTACTGACTGGCAGCATTGGTACCAGCAGGCGACTGACTCTATTGCAAGGTTTCTCAACTTGAAAGGAGTTTCAAGAATGGTAAAAGGAAATAAAATACATTTCAATATATGTAGCCTCAAGAAAGAAATTGATAAATGCTTATTATTTACCATCCTAAACTACTGGATTTACCGCCAAAGTTTTCTCTTGTTTTCTGTATCTTTAATTTATATTATTTTCGTTCAGTTATTATTGTCTAGTTTTAGAAGCTGGATTCCTTCCAAATATTATTTGAGGAGATTGAAGGGATCTTGACACCATTGAGTTATTGCCAATCTTAAATAGATGGATGTATTTGAATAGAATAAATTGTAAAATTATATTAAAATATGTGTTGCAGCTGTGGATCGCTCTCATCAGTCATCTCTCTCAGATGCCCGTGATGCCTTTATAAATGTTGCAATTGATGTCTTATCTGCCTACCGTGTTGTTCAGCCATCAGGACCTTCAGGAGCATTATTAGCACCTCACAATCTCAGGCTTCTCCCATTGTATATTTTAGCATTGCTGAAATATGTGAGTATTCAACACAAAGCTTACGTTTTTTGTAATGAAGTTTGTTATTCCGCCACAGGTTCAGATTTTCTTTTTTGTTTTAGGTGGCATTCCGCACAGGGCAAAGCACACGATTAGATGATCGTTTGTATGCAATGTGCCAGATGAAAACATTGCCTCTGGCATTCCTTATCCAAACTATTTATCCAGATTTATATCCTGTACATTGTTTGGAAGAACAGGTAAATAAGAATTTTTACATTGAAAGTACAATTATGAATCTTATTTATTGTTTCCCTTCTTGTCTTTCTTCTTTTTCCTTTTAAATAAAGTAAAGTACTTTTTCTTTCTGTGAAGACCATTGGAAGAAAGTTCTAGATTCTTGAATATTGTAAACAGCAAGATAAGTATGATTATTTAAATTGCAATTCATTTTCCTGAGTTGTTTACAACAATGACTGGCCTTTAACACCTTGGTTACTACTTTTTTAATGCTTTTCAGGAGTCTGTTCTAAAAAGGTGTGAAATGGAAGAAAGTAAATTGACAATATACTAAATACTTGGGATTAAACATAATTATAAAACATGGGATTAAAATGAATTTTCATCCATAGAGAAATAAGAAGTGCCAAGCAGGTTAGCGCATGGGTCTTAAATCTCCTGGATGATTTTAATCCTGTGTTTTATACAATACAGTTTGGTTTCCTCCAATTTTTTTTGAAATACAGTACAGTACAACCTTGCTTCAACAGTACATTTCTGGAATTTGTTTTCCTTTCTTCCCTTTGTTTCCCTTCCTTTACTTTGTTTCCCTCCCTTTCTCTTCCTTCCTTCCTCTTTCCTTCCTCCCTCCCTCTTTCTTTCTTTCCTTCCTTCCTCCCTCCCTCTTTGTTTCCTTCCTCCCTCCCTCTTTGTTTCCTTCCTCCCTCTCTCTTTGTTTCCTTCCTCCCTCCCTCTTTGTTTCCTTCCTTCCTCCCTCCCTCTTTGTTTCCTTCCTTCCTCCCTCTTTTTCTTTCCTTCCTTCCTCTTTCTTTCCTTCCTTCCTCTTTCTTTCCTTCCTTCCTCTTTCTTTCCTTCCTTTCTTGCCTTCCTTCCTTTCTTTCCTTCCTTCCTTCCTCTTTCTTTCTTTCCTCTTTCTTTCTTTCCTCTTTCTTTCCTTCCTTCCTCTTTCTTTCCTTCCTTCCTTCCTCTTTCTTTCTTTCCTCTTTCTTTCCTTTCTTCCTCTTTCTTTCCTTTCTTCCTCTTTCTTTCCTTCTGTCCTTTTTTTCTTCCTTTCTTCCCTTCCAGCAGACTGCAGATTTATTACCTTACTTTCTCTCTCCCGCCTATGGTATTTTGACTCAGCTATGTATCCTTCAGTGACAGATGAACTCCATCCATCAAAGTTCATCCCAGTGAATCGCTCTCAAAACACTCTTCCCCCATAGAATCTTTCCCAATCATTGTCCAACCTCCTCAAATTGACAGATTCCATTACATTTCTAATACATGTTCTGAGAATGAAATCAGTGTATCCTGGCCTTCACAATGGTACACTTACTCTTTCAAACGTTTTAAGTTTTGACAATGATAAAAAAAATATATATTGTGAATCAACACCAATAATCTGATGTCATACAACAGCAAATAAACAAATGCAATTATCTCTTTGTTTCAGCTCATTTCATCTGCTTGACTTCCAATGATCTTTTAAAAATGTCGTTGTGATGTAGAACAACCCAAAATATATCATTAAAACAAAAAACAAAAATAGTGAATGTAATTTGTGCTATATAAATCGTGCCCTTTTTTAACTTGTAAGAACAAAAAACTTCATAAAATCTGGAGCCTCCTGATCTCATGCTAGGCGCAAGGGGAAAATTCTTTTATGTCTTTGCATTAGTGGGTAATTTCTTGCATGGATGTTTACTCCACGATGGCTCATCCCCTAACTGTGGTAATTTATTGCAAACAGACCTTTCTGTGAAGTGAAGTGACCTTTCTGTGAAGTTTCTGTGAGGACTACAATGAGAAACAGCTCTCACAGGCCTTGGTGCTTCTCTAAAAGAGATGTTTTGTAAAGATGAATCTTCTCTGCAAACATTTAACTTATGGGAAAATGGAATTTATAATCCAATCTGAGAGAAGGATTATTTCCAACATGCTTTTTATCAGATTTTAATCATCTTTACCGCTTAAACATTTTTTGGCTCCATTTTTCATTTTACTGTTATTTAGTCAAGATTTTGCATTGTTTTATGTCTTTTACTTTGTATTTTGAAAATATTTTTGGTATAACTGTCATAGTTTATCATTGATGTTGAACCACCTTAAAATGTATTTTTCAACATCTATATTGTACTGATATCCAGTAAATAAAGTTACTGGAATGTGCAACAGAACCTTTATATTGTGTAATAATAAAATAACCATTTATCTAGTTAAGAAATAGTTAAAAAACTAAGCATATTTGCACATAAATAAAATAAACCAAAGCAATAACTAACTTTCGAAAGGATGAAATACCCCCATTAACTATTATTAAAAATTACAAAATCATGTGTGAAAGCTAGAAGAAATGAGCAATAAATTTGGATGGATCAAAAAGAATTATTGTAGCATCATTTCTTGGAAATTTAAGTCATTATTACAGTTTGCCTGAAGGAAGAAACATCTTAGAAAACTCAGTAGAGATAAAAAATGTAATTATCGATATAAAGAAAAAAAGGGAAAAACAAAACAAAAAACCACTGGAAAGGTTTTGGGAACTATAAAAACATTCATTCTACATTGCATGTTTATTAAATTTCTGAGAATTGCTTGTGCCAGTGTAAAGGCAGTTCATTAGCTGGGGTTAATTTCTGCAATGTTGTGAAGGTTATTGTATTGCAAATTTTTGATATATTACCATGAACTGTTAATTTTGAAAACAATGTCAGGTTCTACTTATTTAAAACTTTTGCAGGATTATTTTTTAAATACATCTCTTTGTGCATTTTCTTGCTCATTAATTGTATTAACTCAATCTGAATTATTTCTAGTTTATGGAATTTTATGATTTTATTAAGTGAATTTTGACACTTTTTAATTTAAACTATTGTTTGTGTGCAGTTGACTACTTTGGAGGATGGAACACTAATTCCACAACCACCTAGATTACATCTGACAGCCGAAAAGTTAGATCATAGAGGAGCTTTTCTTTTGGATACTGGTGATCATATGTTAATGTATGTGGGTCGCAGTGTCTCTCCAGAATTCTGTACAGATGTTTTAGGTGTTGCTGGTTTCAATAGTATACCGGAGGAAATGGTTTGTTGAGAATTATGTTTCTGAAAGCTCATAATTTTGTTATAGAACTATGTGGGGAAGAATTTGTTAAACTTACAAACCTTTTATTTTTCAGTATGAATTGCCAGTGCTAGAAAGTGTGAAATCAGAAAATATTAGGAATTTCATTAACCGTCTTCAGGCTGAAAGACCTCATTGTGCTACTTTAGAAATCATAAGGTGTGTATATAATTATTTCACTTTTGAGAAATTGAATTTTTAAGGAGAACTTATTCACAAGATAGAACTTGAATAAGAAAACAAAATTAATGTTCTGTATATTTTTTCAGAGATGACAGCCCTCGCCGTGTGAAATTTACAGAAAGGTTAATAGAAGATAGAACTGAATCAGCCTTATCATATTATGAATTTCTACAACACCTTAAAGCAAATGTGAAGTGATGAGTGTTGTGAATTTATGAAAAAATAGTTGTTATGTTCACATATGGATAGTTTGTAAAAAGTGAAGGGACTATAGATTTTATTATGAATGAGCTTTTCAATCATAAGCTTCTCTTTTTAAATAATTAAACAAACATTCAGTTGTGACACTGTACAGTCTTAGTCATGTTATTTCTGGAATATTTGTTGTATATAATATATAAATATATATATATATAATATCTACACATAAAATATAAGGCCTAGTGCAGAATGTTTGATGAGTATGGTCTTTTGAATGCATGGTTTATTCTCCTTAACGTAAAGGGGTAAACAGTAATTGATCAATAGCTATATGTATTTACTGTTATTTTTATTTTGTTTTGTACACATTTGTCTATTTTGGAGTACATTTTCTTCTGTGGTCCATGTGTTGTACTTTATTTAGCATAGTGATAAATCAGGAATTCAGGTAATAGTATTGAATTCTATTTTATAATGAATGTAATCATTACTAGTAAGATCACTCCATCATGCTGTTAATGTATTCGGCAACATTGATCACTGTTACAGATCTTACATCTCTTTTCATTGAATTGTAGCTAAAAGAAATTGGTTTTATGCTGTTATATTTTAATACTTCACAGATTTTGAAGTTCAGTAGTATTACTGGATGTAACATGTTGCAAGAGAATTTATATTTGACTGTTCATGTGTATTTCTTTGTTACTCTTGTTTTCTCATGCTTCCTTCACCAAAATCTTTGCGTTTAGGGGTTAGATTGCTTAATTTTATTTATTTATTTATTTATTTTGTTGGCTAATAAGTTTATTTTTATTAGTATAATGCTAATTTGCCAATAGTTTGAAGATTGGGGAACTTCAAGGGATTTTTGATAACTTACTTTACTTCGGGATTTATGGGTTGTCTTGTGCATAAAATTTTATTCTAGCCACTTATTTTATGTATATACCTAAGAAAGTCCCTTTCAAAGTACATTTGGCCATTTGTGAATTACAACTATTCACTGATCTGCTTTTGTGACTGAATCTATTTGTGATCTTTGTAAATCACTATAATTGTAAAGTGTATAAGGCATATGTATTCTGCTGTTGCCAAAAAAGGGATGATAGAAAGGAAATGATGTACTGGAATAAGTAAAATCAAGTGCATCTTGACGTAATTAGTTGTACATATTGACTTTTTTCTTTTAGATATTTCTTGTAAAAGCTCTTGATCTTAGTTTTTCATTTGTAGTCTTTATAAAATTAATTTTTGGATAGGGAGTTTTATAACACCCCTTGTTATGCTGTTTCTACGGCATCAAATGTGTGTCTTTACTTCAGTAGAGAACGATTTACTTAGTTGTGTGCTTGACGTAATTCAGCTGTTCTGGTTTCATCCAGTCAGGAGCTTATATGTTGCTACAGTGATGTCACATTGGGGACGTTCAAGCTCCTGTTTGGCTGAAACTGTGATCAGCTGATTTACGTCAAGTGCACTGTTAAATAAGTAGTATAAAATAGATTTGAATGTATAGTTTTAGATTTGAATTCAATATGTTATCTCTATCAATACTCACTATTAATCTGGTATATGTGATATACAATGCCTACATAAAATTTAATTTTTGATATTTTATGATTCTGGGCTGCTAGATTTTTTGTGTAACAGGAATTCATTAGGCATTCTTGACATGTAGAAATATGAATCATGATGAAAAAGGGTAACAAAGAGAAAGAAATTGAAAAATCATAGCAGAAATCAAACCATAGATTTACTGATTTTTTTCTAAGATGTTTTTCTATGATTCTTCAATAGCAGAATTAAATCCAGGAGAAAGCTAAGATAGTTGTCTATGAGACCTCATGGCAAAATATAAAAGTTGTATTTTTTGTCTATGTATGAGTTACAAAATATTTATATTACATGCATGCAAAATTACTAATAACTTGCCATGTGTTTGTTAGGTGTGTGATGTGTTGTAATTTGACCACACTTATATGTGCCACTTTATTGCAGTTCTTCAGTCACCCAACACAAAGAATTTTTAAAATTTCTAGTTTAGAGAATAAAAATACCAATAGATTGGATATGTGACGCCATTTTGTTGAAGCCATATTTCTTTTTAAGATATTTTTATACAGTTTTTTTAAAAAAAAAATATATGTATATCTATTATTGGGTGCATTTTGTATAACATGTCAGAAAGGTTACATCATTTTAGTCACCATGTTGAATTGTTTTTTCTTGTTTCATGTAGAATTATTAACAGGTAGCAGATGCAGTAATGTGAATTGTGAGTTTTGGTAAATCTACAAAGAATTAAATAATGAAGTGAAAGGGAGGCAATATTTTTTATTACAAGTAATTTTATTTAAAAAACAATTTTTTAAAATATTTGGATAGCATTAATAATCAGTATTTTCATTAGTTGTAATTCCACAATTTTACTCTTTGTGTTGCCAGAGTACATCCAATTTCATTTACCTGAAATGCTCAATTGTGGAAAAGTTTCAGTGAATACCCTTCTGAATTCTTTCATGAAGTTCATGACATAAGTTTTAATTCTATTTAATGTGCAAGTATGATGGTTGTGATCTTCAGTGCTACATGAAAGTCAACTATGTGATTTATTACTATTATATGTCCTTACTGAGAAATGGATTATTTATCTTTGATTTGAATGTATTGATTGTATAGTGGATTTGGCCAATTATTGTATGTTTTTCATAAGCCTTGCTCATTTTTTTTTAGTTATTTTTTTTCTCTTGACAAGGCTTCTTAAGTGACTTGATTTGTTGCTGTCTCTCTTTGGACAATATTCATTTTATTTTTGTGGTTTCTAGAAGAAATATGTTTTATCTAGTATATTGCAAATATCCTGAAGACTTTGATTTCCCTATTTACACCATATGAATGTACAGAATGTTATGGGTATAAAAATGTAATAAATCGTGTTTCCAACATATTTTGGGGATCTTAAGTTTTTAGAACTTTCATTACTCATTAATAAAAAATTGAGGTTCCTGAAGATTTTTGAACATTATGATACATATGATGCATCCGTATGTCGTAATAATGATCACTAATAAGAGAGGGAAGCAACTTTTCCTAATACTTGAAACTTGAAATAAATCATAATGAAATCGTAAACTGAAATGCACATCAAAGAAAGGAATATTACTGAAGCAGAAAGATGTGCAGAAGTCCACTTGTTAACAAGAAAAAAAGAGTTATATAACAGATTTTATAATAGAGAAAGAAAGATACATCTCAGGAGACAAGACAGCACTGTAAAGCCTTTCAAGAAAGTCAATCTCCTGATGTGAAACCACTTTTGTGTTGAGAGTATGAATACATTTTTCAATGTTTTCATGTTTGGTGATTTGTATAAAAATGTGAAACAATTAAGTACATACTTCACAAAGTATGAAAAAATAGTGGCAGAAATAGAAGATTTATGAACTATTCAAAATTAACAATGATTTGCTGGTGAAAACCAATGAATAGAGCTCTATGTTGTGCTACAGATGGTAAGAAGGAATGAAACATAAAAGGAAAGGAAAACAAGACTATCTAAAAAGTATTATTCCTTTGTGTATATTCTGTATTATTCCGCTGTGCTAAGGAAAAAAGACATTTATCTGTAATTTTTAAGAAACCACTGACCCAAAAACTCGTAAGTATGCTACCTCTGGATAGGGAATTTCTCCCCAGTTGTATATCAAAGGGATTCAAGATAAAATAGTTTGCAGAGTATGGCTTAGGAGGGAAATCGGCAATGTACAACACACATCAGGCGTCAGACCTAATGCATATTTCACCATCGTGGACAATCCCGAAGCAATGTGTTCTAGGGCCTTAAAATCAGTGTTCTTTTTTGTCCCTAATGGGACTTGAGTTATGTCTTTTATGACAGTTTGCCAAACATGACCTTTTTGAACGTTCCCTCCCTTTTAGTTAAGGTTGCTAGAAAGGCTGGAAGAAGAGTTCCAATGTGAAGCTATTATCACTTATTAAACGATGATTTAAAATTTGCTATTCATATGTAGATTTTGCAATTTGTTTGTGAAGAATGTTTTGGACCATTCTGTATACCACTATTTGGGGTTTCCACTCTTTTTAACTATTCAAAACTTCCTCATTCGTCCATTCAATCAGAGAAGCTACTGCACTATCTGCTGCTGAAACATTTAAAGAATATTTAATCATAGAAAAACTTCCATTTTTTTAGGTTAAAATGTGCGCTAATGTATGAAAACTAATGAACTGCTAATGTATGTGGAAAAATAAATGAAATCTTGAAAACCTGCCAAATTATTTTGTGTCAATAGGCCTGTCGCAGTTAGCCTTCATTACTTTGATTTACAGTTCAGAGGATGGCCATTTAATGTTGGGATCCAATATGAAGCTATTTGGGCTTTTAAAACAATGATTTACAAAGTGTGAAATGTTTGTCCAGTTAATATTAATTTGTTTCTGACGTTCTTTAAGAAACATTTTAATTTTTATTTCTTGGAATGTTACTAACCTTCAGAAGCAAGGTGCTACATTTAGTAATACTAATTTTTTTTATTGTCTGGTCTACTACATATTACTTTTTCTGTGGTTAACAAATGTAATTAACAGTTTTGCTATTATGAACAAAATGTGAATATATTATGTAATAAGACCTTAAAAGTACAGACATTTTATGTAAAATTACAAAAGAATATAAATGCCTATTTGCACATTTAGGCTATATGCAGATTTTACCATATTTTAACAAAAACCTGCTTAATGGGGAATATTTGCTTTATTTTTACAATATTAATACAGTTGTAGTGAAACTAATCATTGAAATGCATTGCTCATATGAAACTTCTTATCACTTTTAACAGTTTCATGCCTTTTGTGTATACATTTAAACACCATAACTGAACTATGCAAAACAAGGAGGTAATTCCCCTTATGCCAACTGGATTCCAAGAATATGACAACGAAAATCAATCATGAGCAGTTGGTCAAATTATAATTTTTCTTATTGGCCTAGATGAACAGGGTGTTTGTGACTGTACATGATAATGCAGCATCAAAATTCAAGTATTGCTCTGTAACATTGGTAGATGTAAAATGTTGATTTTCAAATTATAAAAATATTTTGGCTGAAAGAAGGTACAATCTTATAGCAGAAAATGACATGATTGTAAAAATGTTTAAAATCAAAGCTTGTAAATAATAAAAATTGTTCAGGTCTTATTTTCATTCATGTTCAATTTTTTCTAATAAAAATTATATTATTTGTTTTTGTTTAATTTTAAGTTTCATATTTTCACTCATCATGTATATATTTTAAGCATTTTCCATGCCTGTTTCAGCCCTTTTATGTTGCATATAATCTGGTCTTTAGTAATAGGTAATTTTACCAGTTTTTATGACATAAATTTATTTTATTATCTTCTATGATTGTTTTCATGCTTCAGCATATACATTTTCACTTTCAATTTCAAAATATTCAAATACTACATTATCAATGTGTAATTTTCTTATTTTATATTTTTAGCCCATTTATTACAAAGATTCTTAATACGAGAGATTTATTAATGTTACATTTTTTAATTATGTTGGAAGTTCTGCAACATATACTCGAATTGTGAAAGATTTGTTGGGTAAATTATAAAAAAAACATGCAGCAGTTTGTAAATGAAGATATGTTTTAATGGTAAAATAGGTACTTGCTTTTATGTAGGAAATGATAATTTCTCTATGTGAACATTTTATCATTACAAATAATGCGAATGAATTTATTTTGTAATATTCTTGGTAAACAGGAAAATAATAGAAACTGGATCTAAATTCAATTATTTGGGCAACTTCATTAGACAAAGATTGGAAAACAAACTTCAGAAATACAACAGGATGAACGGGCTAATCAAAAGACACTTCAGAAGAGATATGACTCAAGAAACCAAACTAAGAATCCACAATATATCTAAACCAATCCTCATGAATGGTTCAGAAGTCTGGACAATGAAAAGCAGTGAGCAACAATGACTAGAGGCAATGCAAATGAGATTCCTACATCATCTTGCTGGAGTAACATTAAAAGATAGGTGAAGGAGTAAAGACATCAGAAAGTGATTAAAGGCAAAAAGTATAGTAGAAGAAATAAAACATGGACAGAGAAAATTGCTCTCACATTAACACAATGAAACAAGAATGATTCACAAAAGCATTGCTGAAGGACAAACCAATTGGGAGAAGGGATGTGGGAAGACCACAAAAGAAATGGCTAGATCAGGAACCTAGAGATGTAAGCCTCCTGGTCTACTGGGAAACAGGAACAGGTGACAGGACTACCTACAGTTGATCATGATTATTCTTATTGGTGTTTTAATATGTGCCTTGAAGGCCCATTTCCAGTTTTCAATACCACTTTGAATTTTAATCTTCTTAGAGCAGGCACAAATTTTGTAGATAATAAAATAGTCTGATATTACTCCTTAAATTTCTTTTGGATTCAGAAAAGAGGATTCGGAGAAATTTTGTGTTTGGCATGTGTGCAAGTGATGCTTACCAAGAGATGTTTTTGGAGGAGGTGATAAAACAACCTTTTCGCGATCTGGGAGCTTCATAAAGTGTAACTCCATCAATTATTTTCATCAACATACTAGCATTGCATAACTGTGTCTATACTATTTTATGAGACAGTAAAATTAGTTAACTGTGATGGATCAAAATTCCATATAAGTTTCAGAGTTGCTCACTGTGAATTATAAGAGGCAAAGAAATGACCTTATCTGGAAGATTATCTTCAAATTCTGTAAAAACTATCGTGAAAATTACAATTGGACAATACACTGGATATACCAATACTTTGTATCGACTGGTTTATTCAAGTAATGTGTACAGACATATGTTGTTCTACCTATACTTCAGTTCATTACAATGGTTATGGTAAACGAAGTTAAATCTAAATATTTCTTCAATTAAATTTTAGTAATTTAAATATCAAAATGGAAAAAGGAATGAAAAATAAATAAATAAAAATAAAATTGTATTTTAATATTTTTTTTTTATTATTTGCAGTTCAATGAAACCCACAAAAAATATAAAATTCCAATTGTGGAATGATTAATAACATTACTACTAGGTGAGGACATGACAATGACTTGGTAGAATTTGCGAATTGTAAATATATTAATTATGATTCTATCACCTAATTGAAAGTTATTGTAGTAACAAATAAACATTTTAAAAACTAGGTATTTTGAACTTAAATTTGTGATTCTATTAATATCTTACTATTCATATGAAATAAACTAGAATTAATAATTTGCTCAGGGTTTTATTTATATTATAAAAGAAATGTTATTAAGGATGAAGGTAAACTTAACATGTCAGAGTTGCATATTAATAGTTTTGCGATACATATGAGTAATGCTCTTCAATTAATGGGACATTACAATTTCGAATTAATTTTTGAAGAAGAAAGTGAAACTCGAGATTTGCTTTGGTAATTCCACCATAGGTTGAAACGTGCCACAATTTTTCCAATTATTTGTGTTGTGTTGCAAGTATTTGAAGCTAGTTAAGCAAGGCTTAGTTCCTACTCCAGCCGTCTCATGGCGTGATGGTCTGCGGGTGGACTTCAGTTGTGCCGCGACCACAGACCGCGCTGCACGTTTCTTTGCCAGTGTTCTGTGTGCCGGTGACTGCAGCAAGCGCGAGCGCAAGAATCTGCCAAGAGATTTCGGAGAGCGGTTGGCGACTCGCTCCAAACGACACGTGTGAGTAGGGACGCGGATTCATTTGCTTCGAATGTATTGTCTTAGGTGGAATATATTTTTATCACTTTTCCGCGGTTTGCAATTGCTTCGTCCACACATTGCTAAGACAAAGTTGACTTTTGGCAACCTTTTAAATTAATTGAGACGATAGTTAAATATTTTCTTGTAATTGTTTAAAAAAATACTAACATCAACTAACTTAAAAAAAACGTGTTAGTGTATATGAAATTAAAATTCAATAGCTTATTGTCACATTAGTCGATGTCACAATTGTTTATTGTCACTTCATTTGAACTGATACAAATTTCATTGATGCAAGGGCATTGGGAGATTTCTTATAAAACTTTTAAGTTTTGGTCAAGAAAAAAAAAAAAACTCACTTGCATGCATTCAAATACACCTGTTACAACCTGTGCGCCTTCCGAATAGTTAATGAAACAGGAATGTTTTGTTTTTCGTTGCTGTAAACACGCTAATTTATGAGGTGCTTCTGTTACATGTGCTCAAATGTTGAGGAAGCATTTCAAAATTGCAAAAAGGTGCTCATTTGTTCAATACTGTGTTAACAGAATGAATTGATAGAAAGCAGAATTCTTTATTGGGTATTACAAAAATTACATTTTGAACTCGGTTTTCGGTAATGCTGTTTGATTTATTGGCTAATGGAACTGACAAAACTACATGCCTATTAACATGTACTAAATAAGTATCCAGAACAAACGTATTTTTTAGCAAAATGTGCAAAGTTTTTCTGCACATAGTAAAGTGCTTATCCATGCCTTTGCAAATAGTTTCTATGACGCTCAGATGTATTCTCAGAAATATCATCAATTTGCTATAGTCTTGTAATTTACATGTAAAAATCGTATTAGAAAAAAATTAGGTTTTCTAGAAATTACTTGTTTCGAAACTATTGAAACATTCATCTTAAGTATGTCAACATAAAACGTCATCACTTGAGAATGACATTCACACCCACCCAACTTTTGATTTGTTAATAATTTTAATTTTTTCGTTATAATTTCTTGAAATTTAACTTTAAATTTGTACGTGGCGGTTCTCGACAGCCAAAGCCAACTAGTGGTGCTAAAACAGCACATATTACTTTCTCGCCATTAGTAATGATTATGTAGTACTATTTTGTACAAAAATATCTCTCCGAATTAACACATCTGTCCTCATTTTTTTTGTAAAACTCATTTGAAATCGTAGAACAGTTGGTGCGCGAATTAATAGTTTCAAGCATTACATTTTTTATTCAAAATTTTAAATGATCTGGCATTTAATTCATTGTATAAGGTATGCAGTGTATTCACGAATCGTGCAGTGAATTCACATATCAGATAAAGTTTTTAGCCTTACAATATTATTTTAAGCAGTATGTGAGAAAGTAAAATAATAAAAAGTTAATAAATAATAACGTTACTGATAGCGTTTGCAAACAAGTAGATCGCACTAATGGTACTACTATAGACTTTCCCGTATTAGTTATTTTTTATTTTCTTTGGTCTCGGATTCGAACTTGCCGCGAAGATTCTCTTGCCTGCTGCCATCTATCGCTACCCAATTTTTTTAATTTTTTTTTAATATTTGGTTTCCTAACAGAACAGAAATACTATTTTAAGAATATTAAAGAAAAATAAGACCTCGTTGTAAATGGCAATTTTCATTGAAACATATGAATAGAGCTATATGGCTTAAGTCATTTAATAGAGTGCATTTAGCACAAACCCTAACAAATGTTTAAAGAACAAATTTGAAGCAGTTTTTGAGAAATTCTTGTTTGTAATTTTATAAAATTGCAGTAAATATTGAGCGAAAGCGACTAAAATTTAAAAAAAAGGTGACCTTTATGAAAGAACAAATTATGGACAACAAACTTTATTTGAAGGAAAAATCTTTATCTTTAATTTTTTTGTAGGAAGATCTCGAAAAAAATTCAAACTTATGAAATTTTCGAAAAATTCAGAGTTAACCGTGAAAATCGGATCTATACCACCTTTATAAGTGCTTTTTACTCTATTTTTACTAAGTAATGTAATAGAATGTAAAAAAATGTATCTAAGTAATGTAATAGAAATGTAAATGAAAAAATTGGAGCTGTTTTTGAGAAAATTTTGAAAATGTCCCAAGGGCTTCATATAAAGTATTCCCAAAAACTGTTGAATGTTTTTTAAAATAGCAGAGCTTCGACTCATGCCAAATGGACACGGGTTTCTTCAAATTGGAAAAAATCCTACGCATGGTTTAGACGCTAGTGTTGTTTATATACACCAGATGGACGGAAATTTTGGAGAAAAAAACAAACGACAACCAACAACACTTTTTCGGTATCAGGGAATCCCAAAACGTATTTCCGTTGTAATCTCGAAATCGATTTCCCGCAGCATTAGGTAACTTTCCCTGTTATACATATATTACTCCGTATATATGTATGCATACGGGAAAGTAAAAATATATAACAGTAATTATTAAACACTATGAAATTATAATATTCTACAAATACATAAAAGTATTAGTCAATATTATCGTGAACGAATGGCAGCCGTATTTATCGCCTTCTGTTATCAGTGCGGCGTTACAACAATATGTTACAATGACCGTTCGTCTATTCGTTTTCACATTTAACACTATTAAAGGACGCAATTTAAAATGAAATAACATAAATATATAATTAATAATAATAATAAAATGAAATATGTAATAATATACAAATTCTAACACTTAGCATCCAACCGTGTAAATTGGAAGCGGGCGTCTGAAGGCTAGCTATCTTTATATACATATATACATAACATTTATTTCAAAGATGTTTTAAATAATTTCTTAAAGATTAATTTGATACGTATAACAAAAGCTCCAAAATAGAAAATGAACAAAGAAATATGAAATATTCACAATCTAACTTACATGGCATCCAACTGACTCAAAACACTTCTAAAATTACGATCACGAAACGCAGGATTTTCAGAACGGACGCCAAAGTTGATGCTCAATTACAGAAAAAATACTCATATTTTCAAAGAATTCAACAGAACCTTATTTGAAATATTTTTTCATGAACACATTTTATTAGGAAAAATTTAATCTTCATAATTGTAATAGTTGGAAGACGCCGAAAAAAAATTGAAATTTTTCAATTTTCAAAAAATTGAGGTTTTTAACCGACATGAGACCTGGTCCATTCTCTTAAACTCCTTCAGACTATCCAACAACAACATTTAATAAAAATCGATGGCGCTATTTCTTTGAAAATGTCTCAGGGGCTTCAAGTGAAATATGTCCCAAAATTAAAATAACGGTTTCAAATTCAAGGGCCCGCGATATCAGCCAGATCAATTGGGGAATATCAATTTTTGAGAAACTCGACTGAGCAGTTTAACCGCTAGCGTTGATCAGAGACGAACAGACAGACGTTTTGCCGTCAATCAATTTTTCGGTATGAAGGACCCATAAAACAGTCTCGCCGCCAATAAAGACATTTTATTATTTATAAAACATGGATTCTGGCTACATGACGTGTTAGAGGATTCTTTTCCTAATTTTAGCAACTGGATTAATCCACTTTTTCGTTACCAGAGCCCTGTAATAATTCGTTTCAATTTCGCAGGGCCTCGGGTGGGTCAGGTCAATCGGGAAACCGATCAGACCGACAAACTGAAGGACCGACACTCTGAAGGACCGACACACTGAAGGACCGACACACTGAAGGACCGACACAGTGAAGGACCGACACAGTGAAGGACCGACACAGTGAAGGACCGACACAGTGAAGGACCGACACACCGAGGGTCCGACACTCTGAAGGTCCGACACTCTGAAGGTCCGACACTCTGAAGGTCCGACACTCTGAAGGTCCGACACACTGAAGGACCAACACTCTGAAGGACCGACAGCCTGATGTACCGACAGCTTGAGGTCGGCAGACGGACGGGCGGCCTGGCTAACAGACGGATGGACTGACGGACGGAAAAACGATAGGACGAATGGAGAGGACTAGCCAGATAGCTAGGTCAAGTTCTGTCGCTGTCTGGAGGAACATTTGGCGTCCGGCTGCTCTGATCGGTAGTTTTCTGTGGTTTCTTCCATCAGGCTAATGCCTGATCTCTAGCCGAATACCGTAGCCAAAAAGTCAAAGATCTTGCGCGATCTTTCCTTCACATTCCCTGTCATATCCTACCCCTTACACACCCACACACACTTACATGCACTACACTATCACACATGCCGGTAGACCAGTCGGTAGATCTTGACCCGGCTGGGGCGGTGTCGCGCTGGTGGGAGATGCCTAGTTGGGAAAACCCCGGTAGTCGAATTCTCTCCATCCAGCGGGGCAGGACCGTCGCCATCTCCCGAGCAAAAAATCATGCACTTCACTTACGGGACTAATAGCCTCGGCAGTTGAAGCGCCCGGAATAACTAGTAATTAATATATCAGTCATCGGACGGGGAGACGTAAGGACGGACGGAGATACTGATTGACACACAATCGTTTTGCCGAAAACATATTTTTCACCGTCGGTCAAAGAATCTTAAATCAATTCTGACTAATATGTAGGTCAACCAATGTCCAGGTCACTGGTTGAGGGAACCTTCCAATGTAATAGAACGTCCATAAATGTCTAATTTAGAATTTTATCCTGAAACCTTAATGCGTGTCCTCTTGAGGATCACGAAAATCTGTTTTTAAAGATCTAGGATCTAATGATTACAAACTATGCAGGATGATAAAATGTGTTGCGGTGTAATATGTGTTGTTGGCTGCATCGCGCCTGATTATTACATACACGCCTTAACAGTGAGTTCGGTTTTCGCCTTAAATAGCTTTGGTACAGGACCGGAGGGGTTTAATCCTCTATTTATTCGCTTATGGGGTTAAAATGATTTAAAAATTACATATGAAAGATTTCCATTATTTTATGAAATATATCTTTTTAGGTAATGAAGGGAAATTAGCATAGGAATTTCAGTAATTCCTTGTTTTGCAAAATTATAGAG